AGAATTAGAGGAGGTAAAAAATATAGAAGAGCAACTAGCCGCCCAGACCGAACTCCCAGCTCAAATGCGAGTCATAGCCCGCAATGTTGCACGTCTGGCATGAATTCAGGTAGAGCAATATGACTTTAGTAGGAGTCAGCATATAGTTGTACGTTCCATAAAGTTAGGGTTCCGGGACTTTGCTCGAGAGTTGGTAAGCGCTATAGGCACGGAGGTGGGCCACCGCCTCGACAAGACTGAGCGGTTCTGTGCCGGCGCCATTGAAGGCGTCAAAGCGGCAGCTCCCAAGGAGGAGGAAGCACGTTCTCCTCGTCGGGAACCGGTCAAAGTCAAATTCCCTGATTCCTACAGTGGAAAACGGGAGGAGAACTTTGACAACTGGGAGGCCAATGTCAAGACCTATATGCATCTGCAACAGGTCTCCCCGAATCAACAGGTTTTAATCGCAATCCACGCGCTTAGGGATGAGGCCGCCAGCTTCGCAAGGTCCCTAGTTCGCGTTGCCAATTGTAGTGACGATCCAGTTGCGTACTCCTCGTTCACTTCCCTCACTGAGTTCTTGAAATTGTTGCGCGAGAGGTTCGCTGATGTCGCCCGTAGCGTTAAAGCCTCAGATAGGCTGCAGACGATCCACGCCCGCAAGTGAAAGAGCGCCAGGGCACTTAAGAGTACAATGGACGAACTGATAGCTGTCCCTGACCATGGGGTTACAGACACCCAGTTGGTCGGCCTCTTTTATCGGGCCATACCCGAAGCCCTTCGAGGGCATTTCTTCGCAAAGAGCGAAGACCCTGCCACTACGTACGATTCTCTTAGTTGTGAGGTGGTGGCTTTTGAAGCCAGGTCTGCGTCTATGTCCACCTTCTGGCACAAAGACTTGGATAAGGGAAAGCAATGGAAGGGCTGCACTATCTCTGGGCAAGTGAAGACTAAGGATAGCCTTGTCCTAACTCTAGACGAGGGTAGCGTGGACGAGATCCCCTACGATCAGATTGAGTGGGGGTTAGAGGAGGATGACAGCGGTGTGGGCCAGGGGAGGACTTACGCTGCTGTCGCGGCTGGAGGGAGGCCGCAAGGAGGACGAGGCCAGGGCCAAGGAGGCCGGGCCTCAGGGAGCCGGTTCCAGGGCGATCAGGGGGTTGGCGGTAGAGGAGGAAACCGCCAAGCGGGAGGCAGGGGTCAAGGTCCCCCGCAAAACCGTCCTAGGAATAGGTCTCCCTATAGGGTAGGAGGATGGCACCCAAGGCTACCGCAGGGTAGGCCTTGGGAATCTTTGGGTCTGGACCAGGCTTTATGGCAACAACGATTGGACCGGGGCCAGTGCATTTTCTGCGGTGACACGGGCCATATCATCAAATACTGTCCCAAGTACCGCGAGACCGGAATGGCTGCCCAAGGGCCAAAAGACAGTCGCCGGTAGGGGTAGCAACTGCCCCTACCACTAGGCCATGTGGGGAATATAGCGCTAGCCGGCAGGAGACTCCCACACCACATGTGCCTATGGCAGAGGTTGCAGGCCGGTGTCTAGATGGTTGTCCAGAGACTGCTTTTGTTAGAGTCTCTCTAGACACCTCCCTCACAGGCGTGGCCGAAGAGTTGAAGGAGAGGATGCCCGCATGGGCCAAGATGAAGAAAGAACAGAAAGGGCAGCTAATTCTGGTAGAGCCTGGCAGTAGAACTCCCAAGGGCGCCGTGTACAGGATGTCCCCACGGGAGTTAGAGGAGATTCGCAAGCAATTAGGCGAGCTCCTCGAGAAGGGTTGGATTAGGCCCAGTTCGTCTCCCTTCGGAGCCCCTGTTCTCTTTGTTCCTAAGAAAGAGGGAGAGCTGAGAATGTGCATAGACTATAGGGGTCTGAATGCTATTACGGTAAAGAATGTTGAGCCACTGCCTATGATAGACGATCTCTTAGATCGAGTGCAGGGGGCCAAGTATTTCTCTAAGATAGATTTGAAGTTCGGGTATCATCAGATAGAGGTGCATCCTGATGATCAGTACAAGACAGCCTTCCGGACTAGATATGGGCACTACGAGTTCATAGTGATGCCCTTTGGACGCACCAATGCGCCAGCTACGTTCCAGCGCTGTATGAACGATTTGTTTAGGTCGTGGTTAGACAGATTTGTTGTAGTTTATCTAGATGACATTGTAGTGTTTAGCAGGACCCTCGAAGAGCATCAGGGTCATCTCAGGCAGGTCTTGGAGAAGCTGAGGGAAGCTAACTTCAAGATCAATACAAAGAAGTGCGATTGGGCGAAGACCCAAGTTTTGTACCTAGGCCACGTCTTAGACGGAGACGGCGTTAAGCAAGAGGATAGCAAGATCGCAGCGATTAGAGACTGGCCCATACCACGTACGCTGACAGAGTTGCGCTCGTTCCTGGGCCTAGCGAATTACTATAGGAAGCTCGTGAGGAACTTCTCCACCATCGCTGCGTCCCTTCGCAGATTGCTGAGAAAGGAGACCATCTGGAAGTGGGATAAGGACTGCACGTCTGCCATGAAGAAGTTAAAGCAAGCATTGATAGAGTATCCAGTCCTTAAAGTCGCCGATCCGTTCTTGCCTTTTGTCGTCACGACCGATGCGAGTCAATACGGCATAGGCGCAGTGTTGCAGCAAGACGATGGCAATGGGTATAGACCCGTAGAGTTCATGTCCGCCAGAATGCCTTTAGAGAAGGTCGCGACATCGACCTATGAGAGGGAACTCTACGCTCTCAGGCAAGCCTTAGACCACTGGAAGCACTACTTGCTTGGGAGGCGCACTTCAAAGTCTATTCTGACCATGAAACGTTACGATGGTTAAAGACACAGGCCAAGATGACACCTAAGCTTACTAGGTGGGCCGCGGAGATAGATCAGTACGACTTCGAGCTCAAGCCTGTCAAAGGGAAGTACAACGTAGTCGCGGATGCTCTGAGTAGGAGGGCAAATTACTTTGGGGCAATAGTACACTATCTTGATATAGGGAAGGACCTGCAACAGAAGCTTAGAGAGGCCTATGCGCAGGACCCTATCTATAGTGAGCTCCTTAGAAAGGTCAAGGAGGCCCCAAAAACTGAGCCGAACTACCGCACTACTGAAGGGC